TTTCCTGTAACCGAGGTGTCTCATCAAGTTGGAATGCAGGCCAGACTTTTGCTTGTAAAAGGCATTCGTCAACTAGAAGTTTTCGATCCTTGCTGTTTACTTCCTTTAGCACAGGTGGAATGGTGCGAGCAGGTTAGTAAAGTTGAGGTTAGCAGTTGTGTGTTGAATAATGTTTCAGTGAAAATTTCATTGGCTTATAGATTTCGATGGGGTAGATGCTGCTGGTTAAAGTGCATCTGAACTAGTGGTTTGTCACTCGGGGCTGGAGAAACTCATTTGTAGGCCAACAGATGACATGGAGATGAGGCAGGAAGAAATGCACTGATTAACTAGGTAGCGCAGTTGTCTCTCGTCTTCCAGGTTGGGGTCCAATATACAGCATAACTGATTGTTTGAAGACACCAAAAGACGTAACAGAGGATCAACAGCAATAGCATTCTTGTCATTTTTACCTGGTCAAAATGCACGAAGATATTGACAAAGTATTGAAAATTGGTTCTCGTAGCTCGGGTGAACTGAATTCCATTTCGCCTGTTCGCCGAGCTTGGCAATTTGTTTGCAAACGTTTCATCACCAGCCGAGGTGACATCATCAGTGCCTGTGATGTGGCAGTCTTCTTCTTGTGTTCGTCCGTTTATATATGTGTTCTCCACTGACCATTTCTGTCCCTTGTTCTCATTGTGTTCGACTGGGTTCTCCATTAAACTGGTGCGTGGAGGGTGGGGGGGGGGGGTTGTCCATCCGTCCTGATTGCGGTTTCGGTCCGTTCTCAGGTCATGCCGTGACCTTTTTTTGTTGCGTCATTTGATCATTGGGTTGCATTAGCGTGTACGCGTGATCCAGTTCAATGTGCCTGTTGATTGAGGAGTGCCAAGCTTCGAGAAATTCCCCGGCGTGTTTTGGCCGGGCTTGGCAACGATCGGTGAAGTTCGCTTGATTTCTCGGTAGAGTGGTGATGAGTTTAAGTGTCCAACTTTTCACTCCGGAGGACGTCTGTTCGGATCCCACCATCGCCAGCTAACTTTACTCATTTCCTATGTAGTTTATGACAGCCCTTTGATTGTCCACCTCTCCCATCTTGGAAATTTTTTCCATCATTGTATATTCAATGAAAGGAAGTAAAAGACGAAAGGGATGATGCTGAAGGCTATTAAAGTGGAGTAAATCCGGTTTCACAGCTCACAAGTCTGGAAGGCACTTTTTCCAAGATATATTGTTTGTTCTTTCAAACATGCGATTGTATGTTACATTGTAAAGCATTTGTCGTATGTTGACATTATGAAGGGAAATAATGAAAATGGATTCAAAATTTAGGGTCACCGATTATGAAATTTTTTCTAGAAGTCCTATACTTTGAACATCAAAGTACTATTATATTCTTTGTATCACATGTTTGAGTCCTAACTGTGTCGCTTGCAATGCATGGTTTATTAATGCAAATCTGTTCTGTTCGCCTGTGCACGGGTAAATATTAAGATCCGTTCGTTTAATATTACTTACTGAAAGGTTCCGACGGCACACTTTCATATTCAGCGATGCCGTCTTGAACGATGGACCGAAAGTTTTGAGGCTCAGTTCAGCTGGCCCCGTTGGACATTAGACCTGACAACTCCTATCACCACTGGGCAACAGTTGATATCAGCCCTCCATCTGAAATGGAAGTTACCAGGGTAATAAGATATCTCTAAAGTTATAAAGCTTCTGCCCCAAATTTACCATCCCCATCGGTTTTAGAAATTCAGCCTTGCATTTGGAGTTGTCAAAACTCCTGGGTTCAGAATGGTAGAAAAGATCAAACTCCAACTGAATGATCTGAATCGGTCATCTTACCGATTTACAAGAAAGGTATCAGGTCGTATTGTGAAAATTACAGAGGAATTAGCTTGTTCATCATTTCCTCCAAAATTCTCGCTGGCATAATACTTTGTTCACTGTCTGCCGCACGTAAGAATCAGCCTGGTTTTATACCTGGTCGAGGCTGTATCGACCAGATTTTGTAACATAGACTTTCCTTTTGTAGACCTACCATTTCTGTCTTCCTCGATCTGAAAGCGGCTTTCGCCTCAATCGACCTCTCTATACTCTGACGCTGCCTTTCCCCGAAGATGTTCCAGAGAAGATTACTTCAGTATTACGATCTCTTGACAATAATATCCGAAGCCGAATTTGAGCTTACCATACTTTCTCGACCGAGTTTGTCTGGGTTGCTCTCCCCCTCCTTTCCTGTTTAACTTTGTTATTTATTTTATTATGGAAACGGCCCCTTTGTCGCGCGAGTATAATGACATCGACTTATTCCCAGATGATAAACTGTCTGATCTGTAGTATGCAGGCGATATTTTAATGTTAAGTGAAGGTTCAAGCAGCTCTGAATAGTTTAAGCTCTAGTACAGCTTTGTTCGACATTCGTTTTAACCTTCACAGTGTTACACGTCGCTACAGGACTGGATTTGTCCAGNTTGTCCAGATCCCAACCTCTCACTGGAGAAGTAATAGAGGTAGTGAACCAATTTTGCTATCTGGGCAGCTACATACCACCCGTTGGACGCAACACGGATGAAGTGTCAGCTCACATACAAAAGACGCGATTGGCAATAGCTAACTTAAGTCATCTGTGGCACCGTCGCAACATCTGGTTGTCTGTGAAGTTTGTCCAGTCCCGCTTAATGAAGCAGAAACTTGGCCATTTCGGGAACAGGATAGAGGTGGACTGTCAGTGTTTGAACAACGCTAGCTACACGGCATTGTACTAGTCTGCTGGGGTAACCGAACAAGCAATGCTGAGGCTAGCCACAGAGTTCTAGGTGGGGGCGTTCGCCCACTGCGCCACGTGATCGACCCCCGTTGGTCGAGGCGTGTTGTGCATGTGACTAGATAGGTTACCACGGCGCGCGATGTTTGCCGAGGCAAGTATTAGGTGGGAAAAAAACCAAGGATGATCGAATATAGACCTGGCCTGTCGGTATGAAAACCCTGACCAGGAAATTTTTCACTTAGGTCGAGTTAGGCTTCCTGGATGGGGAAATAGGGATAATTGAAATCGGTGGTTAGAAACACTGATATGACTGAGTGTCGTAAACAGTGCCGCTCGTGCATCTCATTTTTTTAACCTTGGTGTTGATGAATTCTCTGTTTTAACTTTGACACTGGATTGAGCATTCTAATATTCTTTATACTCCTTAATCCAAATGAGCAGTCATGAGACAGCAACGAGAACCGGCGCACGGAAGTGCAAGGTCAGTAGTTGTAAAAACTGAAACTGAGCATTAATTTACATGGATTTCATTATGAGATACACCCCACTTCGTCATCGGGAACATTTTCCCTAATGTAGATACACTTCGTCACATTTTGTTTTAAACCTTAGCAGTACTGTTTGATTTTATGCGATACATTTACTTGCTTCCGTATTCAAAGATCAGATCAGCTGCATCTTTGATTTCTATTGTGCTGTTGATTGATTGCATCCGGATCGTGGTGAAGTGGTTATGAGAGTGGGTAGGTTTTACCGATTGACTCGCTGCGTGTCACATGATTGCCGGATGTCATAATAAGCTACTACTCTTTGAGTGCTCGTTTGGTTTACGATCTAGCTTTGCTGCTATGGCGATGAGAATTCAGCCTCATGTTTTAGTTTGACTGGTTCTGTTATACAAATTATAACCTTAATTGTTCCGTACTGCTGATGGACTCTATGAGTTTCGGTCGCCAGCATTCACCTATACGCATTTTGTGTTTCGGTTTGTATACCTAAAAATAAACGACCTCCCAATAAACGGATGGATCTCACACGATTTTCATGAATACCAAACGAGTCATCCGACCTCATTTTCGATTCCTGTACACATTGTTTGATCATTGATTGAGCTGTGCTGCCAAATTCTTTCCTTTTCTTGATTCAAACCTCTCATGTAACGGTTGTGAATGGTTCGTTGTCATCTCCATGGTAAATCATCTTGTTTTCTTATCCGTTCCGACGTATCTCTTCGGTCGTTGTTTTCAAGCTGTGTGCATTGAGTTCAAAACCCGAACTTTTGGTAAAATATTTCAAACCAACTGAAAGTATGATTAGCAACAGTTGTAACAGAGTCAGAACTACAGGTTTTCACGTCGTTTAGTACTCATTGACTATCGCTTAGTAGTAGCCGGATGTACTTAGCAGCCACAGCCTTAACAATACCATCATTGTGTTTTAATTGACTTCATCAAATATAGTTCTAAGATGAAACTCCCGCGTTCATGTAACCACATCACATCCTAACTGGTGTCTCTTTGAATTCACCCCGTTTTTTTCGTTCGGTTGGACACTTGTTTTTGAAGGTGTACTCATTACTATCAAGAAGACGATCGATGGAGGAAAAGCTTGAGTGTATGTGGATTCAAATAATTCTTTCTCCTGAATTCACAAATGCTGCCAATCAGAGCATTTCCTCGACGAAGTCATCGGGAAATTTCCTTTTCATGAATTTTCCTTTTATGCTTGACTCTGTCTCATTTTACAATGGCTCTGTAGGTTTCGATGTTGATTACCAAAGGATGATAAATACAATTTAGCTTGTCTCTCATCCACGCACACCGTAAAATTCCTGTGTGGTCTTCATCACGACTTTGCTGACGATCCCATTTCGGAGTTTTATTTATTTTTTCACTCAACTTTATCATCTCATTTTTATTGACTCACGCTCTCCCCGGAAGTTAGCGCTATCGTTCAGACACTGACTCGGCAAGTGATTCGGTGTTGCACATACCGACGTTCATCTAACTCAAACTAAGCTACCAAGTCACTTGACCGGGCCTGAAGCTTCAGACGTTTTGTGACCTAATGTGATATGATTGAGTGCATCCATTGGCAAGTAACAACCAATTTAGGCAACTAAAAACAGGAGAGGCTTTAATTTTATTCCTCTTTGTAGTCAGCGTTAGTTACATTCTCGGAATATAATTAATCGTTTTTTATTACTTTAAAACATGTTTCCATGACAGCGATCGATAGCCGTGTTATGATTCGCTGTAGGTTGGTTGTTTGAACTGTGTCTAACCAGACCTAACGGGAGAATTTAATTGCACCAAATATTATTTGTTAGATGTGCAGTCGATAGACCCACCTTAGGTGTTGCTTCGTTTGTACATCACAAAATCATGGAAAAATCCGATTGACTGTGTGATGCGTTTTGTTTGATTACTTTTCGTTTTTTACTTCATTTCTGGACCACTTCTCCTCAGTAATCTAAAAGCGTATTGGATGATCACTTTTTATACCGGCGTAATCATCAGACTTTATCTCAGTGGGAGTCTAGAACATCAGGTTAGGTCGAAAGTTATCCTGAGCGCCGGTAAATCAGCCCCGATTACTTGAGGGAGAAATCTTTCCTCCTTATTCGTTATCTGCCTATACCAGTGATTTATCTGTTTTATTGCATCTGCCCAACATTTTAAGTATGCAGATGATGTCGTCTCAAGTCAAAATGTTTCCAATACCCTCGAGTTAATTAACCTTTCCAACAGTCTTCTGCATGCACATTTTCCCCTGTATTCTGATATTAATTCTAATGCTTGTCTGTATCGAAGGTTTTCCGCCGTACTCTGCAATCATATTGACTCTGACCCATTACCATTGATTTGATTACTTTGTGGTCACTATTACTGATTCTTCCGCATTCTATCCTGTGCTAGAAAGCCGCATCAATCATCCTTTCATATTCGCAAATTAATAAAATCTATGGTATCACGCTTTGAAGTTTACACTTCTCTTATTCAGTGCATGTTTTCTGTCGTACTCTACTACTGCTCACACTGTTTTTCCTTGACCTTTCAAAGAAAGATTTCAGAATTTCAAAATGTGACGCGCTTATTTAACTCTCTTCGAGGTCGCGATTGCCTCATATTCGATTACACATAGACACGTACCAACGTTTCACCACGTTCCGTATTTGACCAAAAGGCTTTTTGAAGGTGCTTTTGAATTTTTTAAGCCAGTTTTATTGTTCGTTTAGGTCTTATGGCTCAAATATGAGCATATTACTCACCGTGGTCAAATCAATATATGGTACCAAATATTGCATGCGCTTACGGATGTCCACTGTAACCCCATTTTGAGTCCCCCAATATGCCTATCTGTTTTATGGTCTCTGTCTAGCCAGACTTTACTGGAGGCGCTTCGTCGCACAGAACCTGGATTTCAACGTCCCTGGGCTTCTGGTTTACCCGGTAGTATTCCGTTTGCCACAGTGGATTATCTACTCGCCGTGGATCGTCATGAACGGGTTTACAAATTCGACCCGATCTCCAACGTGTGGTCATCATCGCTCGACGGTGCTCGCCCCACTCCCACGGCACGAATTTTTCGCAACTCCGCGGATATTCCACATACTCCGGTCCGATTGTTGGTCTTCACCACCAGTCTGGAAGTGTATGCGTTCCGTTTGTGCACTTTGGGTTTCTCACTCAATCCAACAGATACACGAGGCAAAGATGATGCGAAACGCCTAATGCGTCAATTTCTTGCCTTGCTTACCGCACGTCTGCATTATGTGCGCGCCGGGTCGGGAATTCATTTGGCTGAAAACTACCTGACACAACTGTGCGTGCCCAATTGTGCACAAACTCAATCGAATCGGACCCAGGGGCAAACTGTTTCATCTGCACCCTCGCTAGATCTGTTTCAACTTTCCCACTCCCAAGGAGTTGATAACGACAGCTTTCATGTGAGTTATACATGGCTTCGTTGAGCTTATGTTTTTGTTTGCTTCTAGTAAAACTGAGTGCCTAATGCTTGTTGTGCAGCGTGGAATAAAAAAAATATAACCGAGATTTGCAAATAAACGAGGAAAGTACTTTGACCAGGGCTCCTGAGTTGTAAAATATGTGGTACACATTAAGCCTCGACTAAAAGATGCGTTAATTACTGATTGCATTTGTGTCCGCTGAGTTTCACCCTTTTTCGTTTCATGTACACGCATGAAGAGAATGATACAACACAATATACAGATATCAACTGCACCATCGCGCATCTTTGCTCCGCTACCACCCTCGATTTACGTCCTCCTATCGGGTTTTCAAATGACTTCAGTAATTCGTGGGTTAGACGGTCTGCAACATGCATGATTAGTTGCAATCTGTGCTGCAAACAATACAATCAACGTTAACAATCAGGGCGCTTCTGTTTAACGCCCTTCGTATACCCTGACACTCGCTCGTATCTAATTTCTCCCCCTCCCCACACGCCTTCACTTTGAAGACCAATCCAATCAACAATTATCCTGTACATCCGGTCGACCGGGCGCGTTATCGTTGGTGTCGTATTCCTGGCGAACATGATTGGATTGAAAATCCGGAATTTTCTTACTGCAGAACATACCCGTTGTTAGTACCGTCTGTACGATTTCAACGCCCTGTGAGTGAGTTGTTTGTTTATGTAGTTTTGTGTGTGTAAACTTTTGTACGTGATACATTCGGCAAATTGTTGCTTCCTACATCCCCTGATCGATTCATACGACACGTACATTTACATCGTTGAGAGATGCTATCTCAATGGTCCTAAGTAAATTATTCTGTTCATTCTGTGAAGTGTCCCGGACGCGACGCATTCTCTCCGATTCATATTTCCCATGGAATTCACGTGAAAATTGGTTTTTACGCATTTTCATGGTTCAGTTTTGGTCCCTGTCTTTCAGTCACTCCGTTGATCGATCACGACAGAAAGAAATGAGAGTGAACAGATGTTGCGGGTGATATCAGGATGAATATTTACTTATGATTTGACGTGTGTCTGTGGTGAACTGTCTGAATAAAGTGTCCAAATGCAAAAGTGCCACTGTTAACGATATTCAGCTAAAGGGTCCTAGTCATGTATCTATCCATTGATTAGGCTGCTATCAAGGTAAGCCCGATCGAGACTTTTGACGTGAGTTATATGACGAAGATCACTGACCCATTGATTAAACCGCGCCCGATATTCCAACGACTTATCTCGGTCGATATAACATATCGATGAATCCTATCTGTGGGCATACGTAACAAGCCCTAGCCTTAGCAGCCCATGGAGATCGAGCACTGGCATTAGTGTGCGACCTTAGCTATCTACCACTTTTCGCCTCATCTCAATATCGCTTATTCGTTGGCCTCATCCGATATATCTAATGCGGCTTAGAACGCGGTGTTGAAGTACTGATAACCCGCATTCGTTTTCTGCATTCTCCGACTGTACCTTTGTGCTATGTAGCAGAATCGGCCGGGTTGCTGCGGGATACACAGTAGACCACTCACGCACAGTCAATATTGTGACCGTCCCAATTTGGAAAATGCCAAACGATCCTTCGGGTTGCCTGAAAACTTTTCTTCTGAGAGTCGTCCAACAGGACAAATGTACCTTTTAAGGTGACAGAATTTCGCAACTTTAATGGTTTTATTGTGTATTCGAGTTGAATTGGAGATCTGAATAACATCATTCTGTAGAAGCATTTTTTACACTACTAGTAAAACTTATATTTTTTTAAACTTAGACCGGATCTTCACTCAGTATATCATCATCTGCATACTATATCAGTCAGTTTACAACCTAGAAATCAGGTGACGTTTTCATCCTCAAATGAGAATGGAACTGCTTTTAAAATGACGTGTTTTGCAACTTTGAACCGTCATTTTCGTGGATAGCTTTATTCCCCAGATAAATCTTGATCAAAGCATACAATTTTACGTTAATTGTTTACTAGAACAGTATTTGCTTTATGTTTTGTCGATTCCTTCATGCTTGCCTTTTTGTAGAAGTAACACTGTTTCAGATCATGATTTCAACAAAATACAAAGGTGAAATATTTCTTATTCTGCCCTAATTTCACAATGAAGAATGTTGCATTGTGTAGTTTGGTTTGATTCATCGTCATCATCATCGTACAGCGAAATACAGAGAAGCGAACTTCACCGATTGCTGTCAAACTCACAATGCATATGCATTAGGGTTTGGTGGACGGGTACTACTAGGGTGTCCAGCCACTAAGCAGGTTTGATTGGTTTGATTGCATGCTGCTGTTTATTTAACACACGCGAGGTGCACAATAGGGAGATCGCCATCATGACCTTCGTTGTATTAAGAATAGCCACAGATCTGTATGCTGGCAGTTGAAATAAACTAAATAAAATACACCCCGGGCAACAGTTTAATATCCCTTAGGTTTGCACTTCTAAATGAAGTAGCATTATAACCACTTTTTGATAGCACTACAGTAGTCCAGTATTATGGTATTTCTACATGTTCGGTTCTACTAAAAGGATACATATCTACCCCGAGCTGCACATGTGATGTGCATTACATAATTCGCATCGGGAGCTCAAGTATAAGAATGATCAGACAAGATTACCGGAAACGCATACCCGACGAGCGGCAAGGACCGCGAAACCGGTCATATGCTCCTGGGAAATTTTGTCCAGTCATTCATATACTACACTATAAAAACACTGAAAATCAGCCGTACCTTCAAGTTGACTGAGGTTGGATGCATCTAACCCACAGCACCTAATACAAAATCATTGCAATGGTTTTTCGAAACGTGCTCGTCTCAAATCCCCTCCCTGGGCCGTGAATGAGTTGTACATGGCATTATATATATATATATATATATATATATATATATATATATCACTTT